CACACGTCATTTTGACAAAAATTAGTCATTTGCAAAAGTCATTTTTTAAATGGAACAGGTAAAAAAAAGGGGGAGGTGTCCTAAAATAAACTCCACCATTATTTATATCTGATGAAACATGCAGCACAATGTATCCTGGAGTCACCATTATTGACGCAGATAACGCTTGCAACGCACGGCACGTTGTCCAACGCAAATTGAATGCGAGTGCGTCAAAACATATCCTCGTCATTTTTTTTAGGCATTTAGGGGGTCCGACGATACATCATAGTACTCATAGTTACTAGTTCAAACGTGCTGCCCGATTAAATAAAATTTGGTTGAAATCAGTTAAAATATATCACCTATCGACAATTTTCATGGCAGTCACGATTCGTTTGGGTCACTGTAACCACTTTTAGCTGTGTCAATTTTAACATTTAAGGCACCGCGCGCACGCAACATGTGCAAACATGGCGGCAAAGACGAAAGGCAACTCTGTCACACTCACAGTCACAGTGCTACAATGCTTGTGCTACTTTTGCAAATGGTCATGACGTGCGCGCACATTGACAACTTTCCTTAACACTGCTCAATCCTTATCAAGGTACAGTAAAGATTATAATGCTAAAACATCCACCATTTCATCAAACAATATTCACATATTGTACTTGAATGTCATAAGAAGTTACAAACGCTTCAAAGTCATAAAAAGAGCAACAGAAACTACGCCTTACTTTGCTTTCACTCAGTTCAGCAACCATCACGATACGTTCGTGTGCTAAATTAAAACGTGTAGTTCATGACAAACTTCGACAGGCTCTGTGCATTAATAATACCTGGATACTTTTTTGACATCACCTACACGTAGTAATGAATATTAGAAGGATTGCGCCATTATGATTTTGTGGGGGTTTTAAAGATTAAAATCGCAATTAAAGTGAAAATAATTATGATTTTGTTCTATAAAAAAGTAGTTTCATCTATTTAAATTTGCTTTTATTTATGAAATAGGCCTACATGTACTATTTCTTTATTCCAGGCTTAAAAAAACTTAGCAACATTACTGTTCAGAATTGACTTACCACGCAACTCACCCATTTAAAAAATCATTTTCAGTCTTCCAAATAGAAAGCGCGATGTATAAAGTTATCTGCGCGGGAACTTGACAGAATGACCGTTTTAGCCGATTTTCGGCTAAATTTGACAGTTTTTTTTGTTAAAAAGTTTGACAGAAAATTTGATAGAATGGATTTTTTGGGCAGATTTCTGGCAGAATTCTGAAAAAACGTTTTTTTTTTAAGTGTTTACACTCTATTTCCAGTAATTCTGGGGATATTTGGCAGATTTTTGATAAATCCGACAGGTTTTTGAGGTGTATTTAGCAGAATTTTGCCATGACCTTACGGTCACCTTGGAAGTTGATACCCCATGTCACAAGGCGCAGCAATGAACAATGTTGGCCACAGGCAACCAGGCACTTTCTTTCGTTTTTATGCAAAGTTTTACTGTCTTTACGCGCCAAAATTAAAGAAATATTTACTTAAAAATGAAATGTTTTTGTATGAAGCATGCAAGCATTAATAACTATGTTAGGCTAGAAACTTATTTGGGGGAAAATTTCATGGTGAATTTTCCCTTGTCTAGCCGGTCAAGTGAAATCCCAGTCAACTGGTCAATTTCCTGGGATCCACCTACCTCAACTGGGATCCCACCGCGGATCCCACCTGGAATTGGGATCCCACCGGGATCCCACTTCCATCCCGCTTTCATCCCACCAGGATGATGATATCCCAGTGGGATAGACCTATCCCGCCGGTTAAAGAATCCAAAGACTGTGAGTGTGATACAGTCCATGAATTTTGCTGAACATTCTTGATTGGTGAACATTTGATGAACATTCATGGGCATTAAATTTTTCAAAAACCTTAAATTTTTGGTCATGAATGTTCATCAAATGTTCACCAATCAAGATTTCAGTTCAGTTCAGTTCAGTTCAGCAAAGTTCATGAACTGCACAAGAGGTTCATGAACATTCATGAATGTTCATCAAGGTAGCTGAAAGACTGTTCATGAACAAAGTTCATGAACTTCTATGATGAACCATTGAAGGACAACTGATGAACGTTCATGATCAGAACATGAACGTTCATCAAAGTCCATGAGTTCATGAACTTCGTTTTGCCGGGGTACCGTTATTACTCGTTACAACCCAGGTAATATCGGGTAAAATGCCCAGTGGGCTGGTCTGTACAATTGGGTGAACACGTATTTTATTTGGGTGCTGTTTGAGAATGATAAGTTTTAACAAGTCTGTGCCTTGTAGGCCCTATGTGGTAATCGGAAATATGCTACAGTTAGGTTTAGTGTTTTGGGATAAGTCAAAATTGATAATGTTGGGTACATGTAGGTTTAAATTAGACTATTGCTTTAGGCATGTTTCACATAGAAAGTCTCATTAAATTTGTGGTACATGTAGATGTGTGAGGTACAACCAGTGGGTTTAAGTGGACTTATTTCAACTCAAGGATTGAAAAGGAGGATCGGCCTTTATATGTGGAGTGGGAGAAGTGAAGAATGGCCCGATAGTGGATGAAGATGTCTGGAGTTCATACATGTACGAACATGATGATGAAAGATTGTAAGATGGTTTCAAAGAAAGTTCCGAGAAGGCAAGTGAGAGCGAGTGATGATCCATGTGCTACTCAAAGCTCGTCAAAGCTTCAGGCCACCAGGGTTGTGGAGGACATCATACTTCTCATGGCATGCTACTCTGTTTTCAATATGGCCTACCCCCAGCACATCAAGAATGCACTTACTTTCATTGAGTAAATTGCGTGGTGAACATCACACATAAAGGTTAAAAGCCTCCTAAGCAAGTAAGACGTGTTGCTATTAAACTCGTTGAGCAAGTTGTGAGTTAATGCTCAGTCTATTCATTCCAGTCAAGCTGTTGAAATGTTTCCTTATGATGGTATTTTTGTGTTGCGAGGAGTCGTACAAATTTAATACTGGACTTTTACCCTTCACAAACTAAATCAGCTGTGTGCTACTCGTGCAGAAACAGGCACACAGTACCATTAAAATTACAGTTGGAAATCATTTACACCGTGTGGTTCCTGCATGCGAGAAGTTGGCAACTGCAGATGACTCGTCTTCACTCAAGGCTTACATGTACAATGTACAAAGATACCAGGCTTGCAAGGCAGAAGAGAAAGACGTGACTTGCTAACTGTGTAAACACAATGAAGCTCCTCCAAGTATCATCCATAAGATACTCCCTTATGGATGACTATGGTATGAACAAAGAAGCAGACAGAGATAAAGTGGTGCGCACCAACTAAAGAGTTGGAAGTTTCTACATCATGTGTTTGCTGCATGCGAGGAGTTGGCATCTGCAGATGACCCATCTCCACTTCAGGCAGCAAATGTAGGGGCTCATGAATATTGACGCCCACTTTTTCCCCTCTTGACAATCGAGGCCACAGCTCAAAAAGTCTCTGCTAAAACCCATGTTTTGTGCTGAGGGAAGGACTCGGAGCTTGAGCATCAGTCAAAGTAGCTTCAAGAAGCTGTAATAATAATAGTAATAATAATAACAATAATTTGTTTTAAAAGATACAAAATACATGAATTTTGAAAACTATTTAAAAAAAACAAAAAAAAACAGGCAAAGGATCTTCACTCCATAACCCAAACGTTAGGTTTACAAGAAGATTGTCGCAGAATCTGGAAGAGAGACAACATGTAATTCTCACTGCAAGAAAATGTGTTCGGTGAAGCTGCAAGCTGGATCGCCAATGAAAGTCAAGAGGGCGTCTCGATCTCAAGACTCAGAGTCAGACTCCCCGCCACCCCTTCCTGGCCGGACACCAACAAAGTAAATGGTCCGTGACCTAACACAGCTGCCAAAAGGGAGTCCTTAGAGTTAGGATTAATGGTTAGGGTTTGGATTGGGGAACACCGGTATTGGGGAACATAGGTATGCACCCGCCAAAAGTACCAATTAACCCCTCAGGTCTCGCCAGCTGCTGGAAGCAAACTTTCTTCCCGGTAATAAGAAATGCACTTTAAGGCCAAAAAAAATAAGTCTCTGGTTTCTGGTATGGAGCTTGCCCAAAAAGTGGTGCGGCGACGCGGCTTTTTTTTTTTTTTTACCTGATATTTTTGCTTCAAATGTGTGCTGATGACTGCAAATGGTGCCCGACTAAACTTAGTGCAAATATATGGGAGTCCAGAGAGGCCACATAAAGCTTATTCTCGACCATAACCCAATCTAAAAACACGTAAAAATTGTGCAGCAGCAGGATTCCAGTTAAACCAGTGAGTTTGGCGGTTTAGAGGCATTATCTTTTATTGAAAAAAAAACTTTTTCATTTTGCCGACGCGCATGGCTACGGCGACGCGCGCGCATACCAGAAACCGGAGACTTTTTTTTTTGGGCCTAAGTGCAAAAACATTGAACAGTCCAACCCAAAATAAATGTAAATGTGCTGGGTTATCTATGATAGTAAAAAGGACAAAGAGCTCACTAAAAAACATGGGAAACAAGCCACATCACAAGAAAGTTCCACTTTATAGAAAAGAAACATTTTCCAAAGATTCAACTTTTAATTTTTCAAACATTTACATATGATATGAGACCATCCTGCAGGGCATGTTTCTTCTACTCTACAGATGTACATGTACCCTCTCTCGATGGATGTTCCAAGAATGGTAAGATTGCAAATTTAACTTTTACTACAATTTACACATTGGTTGTTTTTATGTAAATCCAAACTAGGTAAGAATTACACTTGGTTTGATGTCTTTTAAGATGTTAGTACTAATATTGATGACTTAATTTGAGGTTCCCTCGTTTTTGGAAGCAAAACATTAATAAGAAATGAGCAGTTTCTTAAGCCTGTGAATCTGGTGATCTAAACAGGTCATTTTGTCATTTTCCCTTCATTAGCAAAATCTTCCATGGACTAAACTAAAATTCCATGGACTACAGTAAAAACAATTTAGGTTAGGTTTGTAAAGCATTACAATGTTGTTGCCTTATGTGCAAGTCTGGTTTATTATTATTAAACTGTATTAGTAATGTCAGTGACGTTTTAACACCTTTGCAAATTGAAAAATGTAATCATAAACAGCATAATTTTTTTGTATATACATGTATATTAAACCTTTTCTTTCCCTTATGTCATTGTTGTTCTCAACAGATTCAACAAGACTTCAGGGTCATCCTCCCAGATGTTGGGGACAACCTATTTTCCAAATGGGACACACACGTATGAAGGAATCCAGTGATCCAGTGAGACAGTCATCATCTCATGCAGATCTATTGTTAAATAATTTCATGAAAAGATAAAGACTGCTCATAATTGATACATATTTTCTTGTCCTATAGGGGCCTATGCCCCATTGGACAGACCAAATTTTGCTAATTTTAAGTCCCGGTAATTCAAATACCACTCCAAATGACAAAAAACACATTTGTTGTAAAGAAGAACTGTTTCCTGGGCCTTTCCACTTTCAAAAGTCGACTGATTCCAGTTGGAAGACCTTTAAGTGATTAAAAAAAGATCTATAAGAGGGACCAGATGTCATCAGAGAGCAGCCTTTCATATTATGACAAAATGTTCTTCGAGTTCAATAACGAACTTCAGCATTCTATTTGTTTTTGGTCATGCCAGACATCATTCATGGAAATGCAATTAACTGGGCGCATCAGGTTAGATTGGGCATAGTCAGAAGATTGTTGGTTCTTTTTGGTACAAGAGCAGTGAATCCAAACATGCATTATTCAATTTCTTCCCTTGTTAATGTAGTTGATCTGTAAAATAAATTCACCAAAATTTAGTTCCAGGGTGGCCCACTGCAGAAACTGACGAGCGTGCTGTCGTTTGAGTCTGCTTGTGATGAACTAGCGCGTGTTGTTGAGTCTGGTTGTGACGAACTGGATGATATACACTCATCCGACCAATGTAAAATTCATTTCCAGGGTGCCCACTGCAGAAACTGACGCGGTTGCTGTTGTTTGAGTCTGGTTGTGAAGAACTGGCGCATGTTGTTGTTTGAGTGGTCGTGACGAACTCTACGATATAATCTCAACCAACCAACTCACGCGGAATGTACTATGAAGCATAAAAGAGCATAAGAACTACACGTACAAGGCGTCATTAGAATGCAGAGCGTGGCTGTTCTTACTATTCTTAGCCAGTTTTTAGTAATTTACTGACAGACATTTTTATTATTCACTGCCGCCTGCAGCAAGCTTGAAAAATTGCTTGCAGGCTTTGCCGCAAGGTTGCAATCAGATACAAGCTTGCAGAGAGCTTGTGCTTGCACAAAAGAAAAGCAACTTATTCTACCTTGTCATTGTACAAACATTGGTAAACTATCCCAAGCTGTTGATTATGAGTGTTCCCTGAGAATGACAGTTCACAATTATCAACAGTCACACTGATAGACAATGGTGGCTTTGAGGATGCTCTGGGCGAGGGAGTGGGGACAGCATCTACCTGGACTTATAAATTTCATTTCCAGGGTGCCCACTGCAGAAACTGACGCGATTGCTGCTGTTTGAGTCTGGTTGTGAAGAACTGGCGCATGTTGTTGTTTGAGTGGTTGTGACGAACTCGACGATATAATCTCAACCGACCAACTCGCGCGGAATGTACTATGAAGCATAAAAGAGCACAAGAACTACACGTACAAGGCGTCATTAGTATGCAGAGCATGGCTGTTCTTACTATTCTTTGCCAGCTTTTAGTAATTTACTGACAGACATTTTTATTATTCACTGCCGCCTGCAGCAAGCTTGAAAAATTGCTTGCAGGCTTTGCCGCAAGGTTGCAATAAGATACCAGCTTGCAGAGAGCTTGTGCTTGCACAAAAGAAAAGCAACTTATTCTACCTTGTCATTGTACAAACATTGGTAAACTATCCCAAGCTGTTGATTATGAGTGTTCCCTGAGAATGACAGTTCACAATTATCAACAGTCACACTGATAGACAATGGTGGCTTTGAGGATGCTCTGGGCGAGGGAGTGGGGACAGCATCTACCTGGACTTATAAATTTCATTTCCAGGGTGCCTACTGCAGAAACTGACGCGGTTGCTGCTGTTTGAGTCTGGTTGTGAAGAACTGGCGCATGATGTTGTTTGAGTGGTTGTGACGAACTCGACGATATAATCTCAACCGACCAACTCACGCGGAATGTACTATCAAGCATAAAAGAGCATAAGAACTAGAAGGCGTCATCAGAATGCAGAGCATGGCTGTTCTTACTATTCTTTGCCAGTTTTTAGTAATTTACTGCCAGACATTTGTATTATTCACTGGAGCCTGCAGCAAGCTTGAAAAATTGCTTGAAGGCTTTGCTGCAAGGTTGCAATAAGATACAAGCTTGCAGAGAGCTTGTGCTTGCACAAAAGAAAAGCAACTTATTCTACCTTGTCAGAGATTTGCAATGACAGTACAAAAATTGGCAAACTATCCCTAGCTGTTGATCATGAGAGTTCCCTGAGAATGAGACTTCACAATTATCAACAGCCACACTGATAGACAATGGTGAATCTGAGGATGCTCTGGGCGAGTGAGTGGAGACAGCATCTACTTGGACTTATAAAATTCATTACTAGGGTGCCCACTGCAGAAACTGACGCGGTTGTTGTTGTTTGAGTCTGGTTGTGAAGAACTGGACGATATAATCTCGAACGACCAACTGGCACAGAATGTACATTGTAATATCAAGCATAAAAGAGCTTACAGAACTAGAAGGCTAAATCAGAATGCAGAGCATGACTGTTTTTACTATTCTTTGCCAGTTTTTAGTAAACTTACAGACAGACATTTTTACAACAGCAGTGAATCCAAACAAATATTCCCTTGTTAATGCAGTTAATACAAGAATCTGTAAAATAAATTCACCAAAATTCATTTCCAAGGTGGCCCACTGCAGAAACTGACGCGCGTGCTGTTGTTGGAGTCTGGTTGTGAAGAGCTGGCGCATGTTGTTGTTGGGTCTGGTTGTGACGAACTGGACGATATACACTCGTCTGACCAATGTAAAATTCATTTCCAGGGTGCCCACTGCAGAAATTGACGCGATTACTGTTGTTTGAGTCTGGTTGTGAAGAACTGGCGCATGTTGTTGTTTGAGTGGTTGTGACAATCTCAACCGACCAACTCGCGCGGAATGTACTACATGTATGAAACATAAAAGAGCATAAGAAAAATGTACAAGGCGTCATTAGAATGCAGAGCATGGCTGTTCTTACTATTCTTTGCCAGTTTTTAGTAATTTACTGACAGACATTTTTATTATTCACTGCCACCTGCAGCAAGCTTGAAAAATTGCTTGCAGGCTTTGCCGCAAGGTTGCAATAGGATACAAGCTTGCAGAGAGCTTGTGCTTGCACAAATGAAAACTAACTTATTCTAGCTTGTCAGAGATTTGCAATGACTGTACAAAACTTGGCAAACTATCCCAAGCTGTTGATCATGAGTGTTCTCTGAGAATGAGAGTTCACAATTATCAACATTCACACTGATAGACAATGGTGGCTTTGAGGATGCTCTTGGCGAGGGAGTGGGGACAGCATCTACCTGGACTTATAAGTTTCATTTCCATGGTGCCCACTGCAGAAACTGACGCGGTTGCTGCTGTTTGAGTCTGGTTGTGAAGAACTGGCGCATGTTGTTGTTTGAGTGGTTGTGACGAACTCGACGATATAATCTCAACCGACCAACTCACGCGAAATGTACTATGAAGCATAAAAAAGCATAAAAACTAGAAGGCGTCATCAGAATGCAGAGCATGGAGGGTTTGTGCTTGCACAAAAGAAAAGCAACTTATTCTACCTTGTCAGTGATTTGCAATGACTGTACAAAAATTGGCAAACTATCCCTAGCTGTTGATCTCAGAGTTCCCCGAGAATGAGACTTCACAATTATCAACAGTCACACTGATAGACAATGGTGAATCTGAGGATGCTCTGGGCGAGTGAGTGGGGACAGCATCTACTTGGACTTATAAAATTCATTTCCAGGGTGCCCACTGCAGAAACTGACGCGGTTGTTGTTGTTTGAGTCTGGTTGTGAAGAACTGGACGATATAATCTCGAACGACCAACTGGCACAGAATGTACATTGTAATATCAAGCATAAAAGAGCTTACAGAACTAGAAGGCTAAATCAGAATGCAGAGCATGACTGTTTTTACTATTCCTTGCCAGTTTTTAGTAAACTTACAGACAGACATTTTTACAACAGCAGTGAATCCAAACACATCTTCCCTTGTTAATGCAGTTAATACAAGAAGATGTAAAATAAATTCACCAAAATTCATTTCCAAGGTGGCCCACTGCAGAAACTGACGCGCGTGCTGTTGTTGGAGTCTGGTTGTGAAGAGCTGGCGCATGTTGTTGTTGGGTCTGGTTGTGACGAACTGGATGATATACACTCGTCTGACCAATGTAAAATTCATTTCCAGGGTGCCCACTGCAGAAACTGACGCGGTTGCTGCTGTTTGAGTCTGGTTGTGAAGAACTGGCACATGTTGTTGTTTGAGTGGTTGTGACGAACTCGACGATATACATGTAATCTCAACTGACCAACTCACGCGGAATGTACTATGAAGCATAAAAGAGCATAAGAACTAGAAGGCGTCATCAGAATGCAGAGCATGGCTGTTATTAATTCTTTGCCAGTTTTTAGTAACTTACAGACAGACATTTTTACAAGAGCAGTGAATCCAAACAAATATTCCCTTGTTAATGCAGTTAATACAAGAAGATGTAAAATAAATTCACCAAAATTCATTTCCAAGGTGGCCCACTGCAGAAACTGACGCGCGTGCTGTTGTTGGAGTCTGGTTGTGAAGAGCTGGCGCATGTTGTTGTTGGATCTGGTTGTGACGAACTGGACGATATACACTCGTCTGACCAATGTAAAATTCATATCCAGGTTGCCCACTGCAGAAATTGACACGCGTGTTGTTGTTTGAGTTTGGTTGTGACGAACTGGTGAATGTTGTTGTTGTTTGGGTTTGGTTGTGACGTACTGGCGCGTGTTGTTGTTTTGAGTCTGATTGTGACGAATTGGACGATATAAACTCAACCGACCAACTGGCGCAGAATGTAATATCAAGCATAAGAGAGCATACAGAACTAGAAGGCTTAATCAGAATGCAAAGCATGACTGTTTTTACTATTCTTTGTCAGGTTTTAGTAAGTTACAGGCAGACATTGTTATTACGCACTGCAGCCTGCAGCAAGCTTGAACAACTGCTTGCAGGCTTTGCCGCACAGTTGCAATAAGATACAAACTTGCAAAGAGCTTGTGCTTGCACAAAATTGGAAAAATAATCCTAAGCTGCTGATCATGAGTGTTTCCTGAGAATGAGACTTCATTATTATCAACATTCACACTGATAGACAATGGTGGCTTTGAGGATGCTCTGGGCGAGCGAGTGGGGACAGCATCTACCTGGACCTAAAATTCATTTCCAGGGTGCCCACTGCAGAAATTGACGCGCTTGTTGTTGTTTGAGTCTGGTTGTGAAGAACTGGACGATATAAACTCATCCGACCAACTCGCGCAGAATGTACATGTACTATCAAGCATAAAAGAGCATAAGAACTACAAGGCTTCATCAGAATGCACAGCATGGTTGTTCTTACTTTTCTTTGCCAGTTTTTAGCAATTTACTGCCAGACATTTTTATTATTCACTGGAGCCTGCAGCAAGCTTGAAAAATTGCTTGAAGGCTTTGCTGCAAGGTTGCAATAAGATACAAACTTGCAGAGAGCTTGTGCTTGCACAAATGAAAACTAACTTATTCTACCTTGTCAGAGATTTGCAATGACTGTACAAAAATTGGCAAACTATCCCTAGCTGTTGATCATGAGTGTTCCCTGAGAATGGGACTTCACAATTATCAACCTTCGCACTGATAGACAATGGTGGCTTTGAGGATGCTCTGGGCGAGTGAGTGGGGACAGCATCTACCTGGACTTATAAATTTCATTTCCAGGGTGCCCACTGCAGAAACTGACGTGCTTGATGTTGTTTGAGTCTGGTTGTGAAGAACTGGATGATATAAACTCATCCGACCAACTCGCGCAGAATGTACTGTCAAACATAAAAGAGCATAAGAACTACAAGGCTTAATCAGAATGCAGAGCATGGCTGTTTTTACTATTCTTTGTCAGTTTGTAGTAATTTACTGCCAGACATTTTTATAATGCACTGCAGCCTGCAGCAAGCATGAAAAATTGCTTGCAGGCTTTGCCGCAAGGTTGCAATAAGATACATGTACAAACTTGCAGAGAGCTTGTGCTTGCACAAATGAAAACCAATTTATTCTAACTTGTCAGAGATTTGCAAAGATTGTACAAAATTGGAAAAACTATCTGAAGCTGTTGATCATGAGTGTTCCCTGAGAATGCAGAAACTGACGTGATTGTTGTTGTTTGGGTTTGGTTGTGACGAACTGGCGCATGTTGATGTTTCAGTCCGATTGTGACGAACTGGGCGATATAATCTCAAACGACCAACTTGTGCAGAATGTTATATCAAGCATAAAAGAGCTTACAGAACTAGAAGGCTAAATCAGAATGCAGAGCATGACTGTTTGTACTATTCTTTGCCAGTTTTTAGTAACTTAAAGCCAGACATTTTTACAACGAGCAGTGAATCCAAACAAATCTGCCCTTGTTAATGCAGTTGATACAAGAATCTGTCAAATAATTTCACCAAAATTCATTTCCAGGGTGGCCAACTGCAGAAACTGACGGGCATGTTGTTGTTGTTTGAGTGTGGTTGTGATGAGCTGGTGCATGCTGTTGTTTGGGTTTGGTTGTGACGTACTGGCGCGTGTTGTTGTTTGAATCTGATTGTGACAAACTGGACGATAAACTCAACTGACCAACTCGCGCAGAATGTAGGCCTAATATCAAAAATTGGCAAACTACCCCCAGCTTTTGATCATGAGTTTTCCCTGAGAATGGGACTTCACAATTATCAACATTCACACTGATAGACAATGGTGGCTTTGAGGATGCTCTGGGCGAGGGAGTGGGGACAGCATCTACCTGGACTTATCAAATTCATTTCCAGGGTGCCCACTGCAGAAACTGACGCGATTGCTGTTGTTTGAGTTCAGTTTTGAAGAACTGCATAAGAATTGATGATGCAATGTACACAGAAAAATGCCTGCCCCGTGCCTAGCCCAGGTTGGACTCCGTTGTTTACACGCAACAGAGTCAAGGGTATGAACCTCTCCTGCCATAGCGAAAAAAATTATAACACATTTTTTTCATATTTTTACTTGATGGAGGAACCTGAAATTTTGCTTACAAGTCCCTTGTGTCCAGAATTGTACCTGTGCTGGGTTTAGAAAAGGCAAATATGTCTGCGGGAGGCGTGTTTACCAAAAAAACCACGCAATTCCATGCTTTTCAGTATGAACTCCTTGTGTGAAGATAACGCGCACGCATGCATGCACACCTACATGTAGCACGCTACTGCCCATATCTATGGCTGCCGCCAAGGCAGCAAACGGCAGGGTCGATCGTTCTAACGCTGAGATTCTTCAGGCTTTTGAAAAGGTTTTCAGATGAGAGTAACAAGTTTTGTGTACATTACAATGGTTTGTGCACATTTTGCAGCAATCAGTTTCCCCAACAAACCCCTTTCACAACCCAGAGATGTGGAGAAGATGTCAGAATTCATTGCACAAGAGCTGCAATCCTTGGATGAGAACAACCACTCAATCGCAACGACACCAAGGCTGTAAAACTGGTTGAAACCAAATTGATGACTTATAACAGGAGGAGGGCAGGTGAACTTTGCAGTAGGTGCATTTATTGTGCAGTCGTGTATGAGAGTTTATTGACATGTCGGGCACTGAAGATTCATGTCTGCCAGAAGGGCAGGCAACATACAATGTACAATTATGTGTACAATGTATTTCATCGACGAGGGTATGGCCGTGGGGAAAGGGTCCAACTCGGTGCATTGAGTTACCTGCATCACTTCTGTGGACACTATGGGTGCGGGGAGAAAACTGTCCACTTTCACCTTGACAATTGCAGTGGGCAAAGTAAGAACAAATTCACCCTGTGGTACTTGCTGTGGCGGACCATCCATCAGCTGCACACTAACATTCATCTGCATTTTCTCGTTTGTCGGCCACACCAAGTTTGCCCTAGATTGGTGTTTCGGATTGTTGAAAAAGGCCTACAGGGTACGACAAGTGTCCTGCCTCTGAGACATCGAGCAACTCTGCAAGGAGAGTTTGTTTGCTGGGGTGAACATTCCATGTCTTGTTGGCAATGAAGAGGGGGCGGTGAACATGCCTACCTTTGATTGGCAGGTATTTTTAACACCTTACCAGTAGTTGCTTGGACTAAGTCCACTTGCTACTAAGATGTCAGGCTGCACAGCTTACGGCTGCACAAATAGTGCAAACCGCTCACATAACAGAGGAATAACATTCCATAACAATCGTTTTCCTTTTTAATTTATTAGTTTACCATGTTTACTGGATTAATTCCATTGAAGATTTAATTCCATTTGAGGACCAAAAACTAAACCGCACATTAAACTTTCACTGAGGCTGAGGAAAAAAACTTGGTAGGCCTGTTTTACAGTGCACAGAGTTCACTGCAGTGCTTGAGTGTCGAATTCATTCTGCCGTTTAGTAATGGTACAGGATTTTCCAGTCGACCTTCAAATTTGCTGGCTGGAGTGCAACATTTTAGGCCAATTTTGTGACAGTTAATAGGGCTTGCCTTTTTTTGGGACCACTGCTATTCGTGTCTTGAAGATGCTTGTATGTAAAAAAGTTGTTGCTTTGAAGTACATTTTGTACATCTCAGTGATGGTCACTACATGTAGCATAGACATCATCCAAAAGACGGCAGTTTCCTGGCCACTGGTGAAGGAGAAGGTCGAGGAGGAGATGACACTACACTGAAGTTGTCACATCTTGCTGCATGTGTCATTCCCGTTAAAGGAGCTACCAAAAGTTTGGGAACCACTGTCGGTAAAACAGTATTTCAGCAATGTCTGCCAAGCTTCGAAGACTCCAACTTCAGAGCTGAATTCAGGAAGGTGCAGGTAGCCCAGGCTCCGTTAAGAGAAATGTCCTCGACCTTCTGGACAGCTTCACGTAAAAGGAAGTTTGACTTCGGATTGGTATCACCAGAATTCGATTTTGAGACTTTCAGGTTGGCCATTCCGGACTGCACATCTGTAGAGTTCAGCTAGATCTGGGAGAATTTGAACTACCTGGACATCTGCTGGGAGCTGGCTGGGACATCAATATGAGAGTATGGAGTCACTAGATTTGACACATCAGTGAAACTACGAATAACTCAAGACCTCACTCTTACAGGATAAATCAAGGTAGCCGCCTACGACGGAGTCCTGCCATCCACAAATTACCGTCGCACACTGACCACCCACATTCATTTGTCAAGTTTGATAGTAAGTTGTATGGAATTTCCATTTTTCTTTTTTGGTAACAGCCTGCAAGCTGAAATTAAGGCTTCTCTTTTAAATCCTGCATTTCATTACAGATACCAAGAATGTCAGTGACAGATGGAAGGCGCTTCTTCAGGACGCTGAAGAACAGTCCCTATCTGAGTGAAAGGGTGTTCCAGAAACATGCTGCAAAAATCTGCACCCTCCCTCTTACAATGTAGGATACTTTCAAGAAGATGAGGACCTCTTTCTGAAGGAATTTAAGGTAATTTATAATGATGTCCATGAAAACAAGTCCTTGTTCGTTGTTATACCAACCATTCACCATGTTCCTTTCATGTTGTTGCTTCTCATTTGTCTACCCCAACCCCCAATCGGAGGTTTCTCTGGAATCCTCTCTGAATTCTACAGATTCAGTTCCCTTAGCAACTCAATTTGTTGGTTAAAGCACAATTCCACAATGGGCCAATTAGATAAGTTTATGGATGTTGCATGTAAAGAGGAAAAAGTGAGCTAGTGTTTTCTTAAGCTTTTTTTCTCGTATACTTTGCTAAGTTGAAGATACAAGAGATACCGGTACAAGCATTTTAGAAATTCACTGAAGTGCGTACAACACAATCATGGTGTGCTTAAGCCACATGTGGTGTACATGTAGATGCACTTGAGGAGATACTGATGGAATACCACTTTGATCCAGAATGCCAAATAATTGACAAAAATCCACTTCTTGAAAGATTAATCAAGATGTGCGTAGTGCGAGATTCGATGGGACAATCTTGTGAGGTCCATGAGGAATTGCTGATGTGGCTTTCAAGGAATGTTGAAGATTACAGACCGAAGGGTCGTTCTGACGCCGAGATTCTTCAGGATTAAGAAGTTTTCTGATGAGAGGCAGAGTAATTGTTTGTGTACATGTATATGTTACAATGTATGGTTCGTGCACATTTTGTAGCAATCAGTTTCCTGTTCAAGCAACAATTGATCCTGGACAGATCCTGAGATCAAACGATAGTTAGTATTAAGCAGAAAGGACATTTAGCCTGAAGTCTTGAAAAACTCACCGAGAGCAATCTATAACAAATGCAAAGATTTGGGTGCGCTTTGCTCTGTGCCTCTGTACTGTGAAGAGCAAAAGGAAGGAAGTTTCATGAAATGCCCACATTTATAATTGAAACACTAGCACTGCATGGAGATGGAAAAATATGCAGCAGCCTGGAGTGACCGTTGATGTGAGTTTATTCGAGGAACACAGTTCACGCTTACAGCAGCTGTTCAATGAAGCCACGTCATTTTTATTCCATGGTTAAGGTCAACGACGAATTTGTTGTCATGGATGACTTGAGGGAGGATGTGAATGTTTTTATACATTTGATGATGCCATCACAAGAAGGGGGCCAAGACTCAATTCCTGTCGGGTAATAAGTAGGGCCTGAAGAATGCAGTGTCAACATGCAATACTTAAACAGCCCCGAAGCCTTGAGCCATCACAATCACGGAGTCTTGTTCGAAACCGCAGCACGACCTTAAGTTCAAATAATGATGGTGTTCACATCACTGTTTATGCAACGAGGCTTCATGTACATGTACATGTATGTAATCCAATGCCTATGCCAAGTTTTAGAGATAAGAAATCATTTTCACTGGATACTTATTCTGGAGTTAACGGTTGTGTCCTTCACATTGTACAGAAAAAGCACCCAACAGATGGATCTCGATGACTTTAATTCATTGGAGATGAGTGATTTTCCCTAGATGCTCGTACCAAGGCCTTGACAAGAGATGCTCCTGCCAAGACTTCTTCTAAAAATCCTTCAACCGAGGCCCTGTCTCGAGATCCTTCAACTGAGGCCCACTCTTCTGCATTGCCAGGTTACTGTTACAAGGTACCGTTGGACTGTTGTATACTACATGTATACAAATATTGAATGCTTCGAGTGGTGTAGTAAAACTAGCCTCCCGAGATGATCCATGGACCATTCTATTTTCCCGAGGCGAAGCCGAGGGAAAATAGAATGGTCCATGGATCACCGAGGGAGGCTAGTTTTACTACACCACGAGATAAAGCATTCAATATTTGTTTTATAACACTTCACCCACAGATTCTGCTTGATTTTAATATTTTACATTATTTAAATCTGAACACAGTTGAAATACACTTCAATTTCAATACAAAATTGGTGGAAAATGTATTTCTCTCTTAAAAACTAACCCTTCACGAAATGTTTGAACCCAAGTCTGCGGCGCGCTCTCTTTGGAATAATACGCGCTACGCACAACGCGCACACCAGCATGCATTTGCACACAAATACCGCGCCGTGGAAATAGTACTTTGGTTGCTAATACAAATGTAGTATAGTACTTTGGTTGCTATGTGCATAGTACTTTTGGCCGTGCACAGAAAGATAGCAAAATTAAAAAGTAACATGTGACTCGCTCTCGGCCAATCATGACACAGAATCTGTGGGTGAGGTGTTATAAATGTATTTACCCAATCACTGGCTTACATATTGCTTGATCAACGCTGGTTCAGGGGTGATTTATCTGCTTGAAGCCGGTCTTTATATCGCATATTAATAAACCCCACATGATATAGTCTCGACCAATCAGAAGCCATCTACTCTCCAAGGTATTTATTAATGTTTATTGGTAAGACCATGGGAAAACTAAGTCTTACCGAATAACGATGGGTTGTTTTCCCATGCTTTTCTACGACTATAAGGGCTTGTACATTTTCAGTTGCAAGATCACCCTGTCTACTGAAGTTCAAAATGAGACTGATCTGTAGTCACACCAGTCAATATCTAGTGCAGTACATGTAGATCTTTTACCTTTAATTTCAAAAAAGGCTTTTTCTTTGACATTGAGGAATCTTGTAAAGCTTCAATTCAAAGACTACACTGCACACTTTCTACAGAAGTTTAAAACGAGACTTACCTGCGCTGAAGGAAGGAAAGAAAGTAAACATGGGATAGGGCTCTGAGTTACATGTACATGTACCAAACCTGAACAGAGTCATGGGCTGGGAAGGATGCAACATCAGAACAGGAACTGGAAGTGTACAGGGACTGGCATGCAGCAACTGAAATATATGTTTAAAAAACAGGAAACAACTTGAACAAAAAAAATCATAAAATGTTAACACAGATAAAGACAGATTTACTTATTACAGGAAAATGAAGAAAAACAAATTGGGGGAGGGGGAAATGTGATTTTCTTCATGATTTTTTTTATCCAAGGTTTATGGGAATCAACACACTTCTATGCTAGCACAGTGTACTACCAATAAGCCTCTGTACAGTAGATTCCTGTTACAGCGCGCCCTGATATAACGCTCCTGCCGATATAACGCTCATTTTTCATTTCCCCGACTGCGCTCCCATTCATTGTGTACATTTTCCTGCGGTTACAGCGCTCCCGTTTACAACGCTTTTCGGGATATAGCGCTCACTATTTTAGGACCCAGGAACAATATAAAACATGTAAAGTGATTCCTGTTATAACGCTATTCACCTTGGGGTGTCAGATTCTTCGCAGATTTGACGAAAACCGCAAGGAGCGGCACGGTCTGCCCATGACGCCACGTGGTCGTACATGTACATACTGTACGTGCCGATATGCATGTACGGGTCGGACTATACATACATGTACATGTAAAGTCTGTGATTCTTCTGTTGGACACCTCCATCAAAATCATATTGTTCGTTTCAAAATGGGGAGAAAGAATTCAGTTGCTACATACACAAAATAATGAAACATTTCTGTTTAAAGTCGAATAAAACAGTCGAGCAAATCATGGAATCTACGGAGTTATTTTTAATTTGAATTTTGCCGCATAAAATATGAAAGTTTACAAAACATGCATAACCTATAACTGAACAGAAGGATTTTTGTTTGAACATTGGAACAATTTTGTGGGCCGAATGTGTCGCGTAACCAACGCAAAAATAATCTACGAAAAAAAATCTACGAAGTCTTGAACGACCCTGGATCAGACCATGGGCAGACCGACTAGGGTTGAATTTTTCCTGAGCTGCTTTATACTCGGCAGCTAGCATTTCATACCGGTATTTTCATCTTCCAATTCACCAAAAACATCTCAAATTAACGGCTGTTACAACATTAACATGGAAAACTTTATACATTTAAAATGATTTTACAAACGAATCTGGAAAACATTATCCCTACTTCTCTCTTGCAGCGACGAATCAGAAAACCGTACAACACTCAGCTTCATGCACACACAACACAATCCCACTGTATGCAAAACGCAAACACGTGCTCGCGACTCGACTGCGCTGGGTGGAATTTGCGCTATGAGCATGTGGCCTCCATTCCAGGCGCTCATTCATGCAGCAGGAGTGGGGAAAAAATGCCCGAATTTGTCAAGGGCCAAGACCTCATATGAATCGAAACACGAACTTTGAAAGAAAACTCAAGATATTTTTTGGGGGGGAAAGAAGTGACTAATAAAACAGGAACAAATATCCTAGAGCCAAGGGGTAAATCGATGTCCGTCTCGTTTATGAAATAAATGTATTTAGTACATGTATGTATAAGATTATGAAGTTTCAATACGGTGAAAAACACAAAACAAAACGATGCACATTTCAAATCCAGTCCCTATAATGGCCGGGGTTTTTGCCTACAGAAGACGCGTGCATCATTGACCATACGGCTTTATTAATCACCGTCTGTACCCGGACCCGTTGGATATGCCCTGAACACTACATGCATATACATACATGTATGTACGTGTATGTGTGTACATGTACATGTGTACATGTATTTGTACATGTACATGTACATGTACATGTACGTCGGTTACAGCGCTGTGCGGTTATAACACTCGGTTCAGTTCGGTCCCTTTGAGAGCGCTATAACGGGAATCTACTGTACTAATGATGTCACACTTTGTTTACATGTGCACTGTCCTATGGAGCCAGCGGGGGCCCATGGTACACTGAGCACCATGGGAAAGCACACACGTAAACAAAGTGTGACGCCATTAGTACATAGGCTTATTAACATTTTAATTTTGTGATGGCATTTTGTCACTATTTTACCCCAAATTGGTCAAAAAATACTATCCTTTCTGAGACATTCCTGCTTGGTGTTCAACATACATGTACATTGTAGCCGTTAGATGAGTCCAATATTACACCTGAATTTGTAAAAGTATTTTTTTGTTCTCTAAGGCCAAAATATATTTTGTTCTATAGTTTTCTCGACCCTGCATGCTTCCTTTTTCCCGCCTGCCTTTACAAAACAAAACCTTTAATTCACACATTTGCAATATATTGTCAATATCTCCATATTGGGGAAAATAAAATGCCTGTCTCCTTGATTGTTTCAAAATCCCAGACAAGAAACTATTTTATTTGTTTTGCTTGGCCTCATTTCTTTCAATACAAATGCTGAGGTGAACAATAGCCCATGGAGTACATGTATGACCATAGTCATGTGCAGATACATGTATATGGTTAACTCCGGCTAAACCAGCACTCTCGGGACCCGAGAATTTGTGACGACTCACGCGAATGCCCATATCTGCTGTAAATCGTCATTTTGCCGACTTACATGAATGGCCTTTTGCACACATGATTCATTGCACCAATTGGCATTGATTTACCCTAGATTATCTCCTTAATGCTCGAGTTGAATCCAGCAAATTAATCCTCGAATTGTATCATCACGTTTGGGGTATTGATAGTGGAGACCACGATACATATGTATGTGCACAGTAACTAATTAAATGCGTGCGTGGTTCGGTCCGGTATATACCACGCACGCATCGACTGCAGCAGTAGTCATTCAATAAGACGACCCCCAAAATGGACAGAGCGCATGCGTACATGTACAGCCCAGAAGGGGTACTGGTATTGATATGCTCACGATGTATATGTGATGTATGCAGTAGGACACCCTTTTTCGACACTGATGCATGCAGCGATCACGGGCCATGCGAAATCACTTTTCACTCGACACTTTGCCAACCGCAGTACAGGGAGTTGATGCCAATGTGTGATTTGTTAAATGCCGACTTACATTGTACACAAAGGATTTTGTAATGCTTTTTATGGAAAGGGGCCCGAGAGTAACACGACGACTTGAGCGAAATGGCGACTTATAAAAGCCGACTTGGAAATAAAAAATTAAATGGAAATGCATTACGGACAATCGGGACTTTAGTCAGACGGCCGACTTGAGCGATTTGACGAGTTGTACGATGTCGGTTTAGCCCGAGTTTACTGTAGATATCATCAGAGAACTATAAGTGAAAATCTCCACAGGCCAATCAGTGGTTCATAGTAATGTTGCGCATACCCGACCCGAAACCGATAACGACCCGAAACTGACTTTGGGTAAGGTTGGGTCGGTTTTTTCATCGTTTCAGTCAGGTCGGGTAGGTTTTGCTATCTTGTGAAAAACCTGAAATAAACCCAAAACACAAAACCAAAACAATTCACGCAGTGCAATATTGTTACAGAATTACTGTGCCCAGTACAACCAATATCAACCCCCCCCCCACCTAAAAATTTCCCTACCTACTTACGGAACCTACCCTATTTTCAAAAGCTATGTAATCGGAAGCAGAATCTTTTTTTTTTTGGCCTTAGGATTCTTAGAGCTGAGACGAAGATTTTCACGCAATGCGGGTAAGTTCAGGCATAAAAAGTGGACACAGTTGTCCAAGCCTGCTATTTGTTTTTTTCTGGAGGTTGGTTCAGTTTTAGGTCAGTTTTTGCTTGAATTTTTTTCAGGTTGGGTCGCGTCGGTCTAGAGGAGTTCAGATCAGTTTAGATTTGGATTCGGTTTATCTCTACAATGTTTCGGGTCGGTTTGGCCTGGTCAACCCGATCCGATTCACAATATTAGTTCACAGCAGCTTAGAAGGGTAACATGGAGCTTGCCTCACATCAATGTGTTGACAGGAGATGTTGATGCACCCTACAGTTGAAGGAGCACCACTGTCTTTGATCTCTCCAACTTCACCATCTAGGAGACTGTTCCAGACACGGACTGCAGTGTGGATGAAGGTTCTGCCGGTGGAGTAGGTCCTGGAGACTGGCTTGGAGAGTGCATGGCTAGGCATGGACAAACTGAGGCGTGTTGCGTGTCATATCTCATAGAGCTGAGCGAGCATCAAGCCTTCAAGCCTGGTGTCCTAACAGAAATGAGACCCATAAAATAAGTTCACCTCTGCAACACTGGCTTCAAAGCTGCACATTAAATGACAAAAATTTAAGTCCGAGTTGTAATCAAATAAATAGTCCATGGACGAGACCAGACATCGAGATCTCCCTTCGCAATCCTGAACACGTTAAATTTTCGACTCGTGTTTGAACAATGCGATGTGGTCGTGCCCAGCGTGCCTACATGTAGCTTGAACTGGTTTCCACTCATAAAAGATGCCCTAGTTCCCGACTCCCTATCATCATTGGAAATGCACTTGTGTTTACAAACGAACGAGACCCAGTCTGCTCATTATCATTATCGATGTATCGCGCTCAGTAACGGAATCGCACTTGTCCAAATGTTAAAAAAAGGTGATAAGTTGGGTCCAAGTTACTCGGACTACATGTATAGTCGGACTCCCTATTATCGCGGCATCCCTATTATCACGGCATGGGAAATTTCTCTTTTTGCGTTGCCAAAACTCTTCAAGTGGTGATTTTTTTTTTCAGTTTACCAGTCATTAAGGACTTTTTGCCGAGTTGTATAAAAAGGACGATTAAAAAATGTTGTGACTTTTAGGGACTTTTAACGATTTTTAATAAACATTAACGTTTTCCAAAACTTGCAAATGTTCCCTCACCGTGTCTGCTAAAAGTAAAAGTACCCTCTATATTTTATCATAAATCTGTTATGGTGCCCGTGCCATGACAGTTCCATTGTCTGGTTCCCATTCTTCAGCTGCAAATGTAAAATGAAGTCGAAGGACGATATTTGCACCGCGAAATCGTAAAAACTTTTACGGGATCAAAATAAGCACAGTGCTTTAACAAAAATATAACGGCACACCGTGTAAAGTGAATGGCGCCCCCTATCGCCAATCAGTAGACTGGCCTCAGTAATTTGTGTTCTCCTTTCGAGGGAAGGGCAGGGTCTTAAAAAAATCATCCTGTAGTCATACATGTCATATACATGTAGTCTTTAATCAACTTGAACGTTATAGGGAAAATATCAGACTTTATTGAGGGGATGTTTTGGTCAAACATTAATTATGAATAAAAAAGTTAAGATCATTATAAAAACCACTTCCGCATACCGCGATAATACAGATTCCACCTCCGGTCGCACACTCCAAGCATGTCTATTTTCACAGGCATCGTACACGGAATAAACCACACCACCGTCAGATTTTTTTATATCAATTTGAAAAGGAAGAGTAACTTATACCACACAAAAGACAGGACAATTCGGGAAGGTTAGTGGTCAATCTCTATTCCGATTGAGAAACGTGATATTTTACCGCAATAATAATATAGGGCAACCATGGCAACCCATCCTACATGTACATTTGCGACACAAACAAAGGTACATGTACAACTATAGAATGCAGGGCCACTACACTCTACATCCGCGCCTCCGTACGGCTGCGTGGAGGCGTGGAGCCGCAGTCGACCTACCTCCGAGAATTGCGCCCTCTATCGGCGCGCGTCTCTGCGACTCCGCACCTCCAGTGCCCCGCGTCTCTGCGACTCCGCGTCTCCGTACCGTGGCTCCGTGCCCCGACACATTTACAAGCGCGCCCTCCCTTCCGATCATTGATGAGAAGACAAGTGCATTCGCTGTACTAAGCACTTTTTGCAGGTTTGCATATTATTATATTGTAGCCTATTACTCCGATACTCACATCGCTGGCCTCGATCCACGCCTCCAAGCAGAAAAAAGAACCCTTGCTCCGGCGTGGCCCTGCATTCTATAGTTGGTCCCAAACAAATTAGGAAAGAATGTTGCAACCTGACGCTGTTTTTTTTTCTTCATATATCATCTCAATAATGTGTGTCAATGAAGGTCAGTCATTGCAAAAACGAAGTGGCTATCGTTACGGCAGCCGTTGTTTAGCGCCCTCTACGATACTTTTTTGATACGCACGCAGATATATAATTATTTGTTTCCCCACGTTTTAGCGAGCAGTGCCACAGCTCAGTCGATAGATGGTAGGATTTTGCACCACGAGGTTGCGGGTTCGCATCTCAGTTTTGCACTCGAATTTTTTTCCTTTTCTAACCTGAGGCTTTGGAGGATTTTTTTTAAAAGGGAAATAAAGTACGAATTTCATAACGTTCAAATTCACTTTTTTCCTTCTAATTTTATATTTTCTTCTCATGTTTTTATAAAAGTTGCAGTCTATACCGTAACGATAGAAAATGGGAAATGCGTTACGGCTGCCGTAACAATAGCCACTGTGTTGCAAAAATGATATGACATGAATTTGAGACTGAGAAATAGGCCTAGGGCCTATTTCCCATTTTGTTATGTTGAAATAATTAGATTCGAACATTTTCTTGACTCTCCGTAGACTTTCTACACAACCGCTGAAGTAGCGTCATGTTGCAACATTCTTTCCACAAAGGAAACTATACCTTCAGTTTGTGGAATCTCCTTGCAAAGTAGTGATGCTTTGGGAACCCCGCCATGCCCGCATTTTGCAACTTCGGTCTGAAGAGTCTGAAAGGTCACAGGCCCATGACGTCAACCGTAAAGTCAGCATCGTTGATTTCTTGAACCATTATTTAGTACGGCAGCAGTGCCTGCGCCAATACACGACACGTGCAGTCGTGACGTGTACATATCACATGATCCATATTTTGTCGACCGTGCGAACATGTACGAGAATGCATCGATGAAAAACATCACAAAACGCAAGATGTATAACTGCATCGAAAAGCTATGGTTGAAAAAAAAGTAATTCTGATTTTACCATGAAATGATGAAGGAATTTTACAACTTGCATGGACCCGGCCCGCCAAGCATACCACCAGCACCACCCCCAACGCGATCTGACTTTGTACTGTACTTGTACGTACGGTTAACTAACTTTCAACAGCGCCACCACTTGACCAACAAATTTGAACGCACATTGTTTTTTAAAAACTTTTCAGCAAATAAACGTAATCTTGGTTGGGATTGCATGAGGATTGTTGGGATTGTATGAGGATTGTTGGGATTGTGAATTTTGAGCAGCAAGGTTGTTGCTTATTGGAATGTAATGTAAATAAAGATACTTGTTCTACTTTACTTAATCTGGAATATGTTTTTATGTTTGTATTTTTTTATTATTTATCTCAGTGCGTGATCCATTCAGTGAGAAAAACTCACTGATCTCCCATGGGTCCCAGCTCACACAAAACTACTATTAGAATACAATTAAAAGATGAGAGTACAATGTAAGAATGTTAAAAAAAAAGTCATTTAAATAAACTTAAATAAAATAGGAATTACACAGATGAAAAGCAGAATTACGCAGATGAAAAACCAGACATTTACAATACAATACAAAACCAACCACTGCAAGATGACATCCTGCAGCACCTGATCTATGGAATAAGTTGCTTGCTGTAATATCCAACAATCGCGGTCCATTGACATTTCTAAGCGTAAAGTAAAGACCTATCTCTTTAAACTGGCTTTTAACTTATTGTGTGTGTGATTTCAATGGGTCCGAGGACCAGGGCCCAGGTCCTCAGGAGAATTTAAACCTTAAAGGAGCTGTCGAGAAAAAGTTAGAGTAAATAAAAAAGGGAACAAAAGAAGGAAAGGATCAGGTCCTCATGACTGAATATAATAAAAGCGAGCTGTATGTCTGTGCGAGTGGGTAGGCATTACATTCACTGTGTGGACTTCCGAACAAAAGAGGTCCACATAAACCAGGTAGAGGCGACGTTGTGTGGACTTGGGCAAGTCCGCAGAGTGTTTCCCCATTTCTGGAAAACAGGTTTAGAGGCATTTTTGGGGTTAGGTTTATGTGGCAAAATGGAGAGAAACACTAAAGGGGATCATAGGGGGGAAATGGGTTGAAAGAGTTTTCACAGTTTGAGAAAATGAGTTTTTTCATTTTTTTTTTTTTTTAACTACACGAAACCAAGGAAATGTCCACACTTGGTATGTAACGTAAACATGGGTGTGTGCATGTGTGTGTGGGGGGAGGGGGGGGGTTGAAGTATGGGAGTTGGAGCAAAGTATGGGAGTTGAAATGACCCACATTCTCTAGGGCTTTTTGACGGCCCTTGTTTTCAGAGTACCATTTAATGAAGAGCGGCAACAATTTCTCGTCAAGGTTGGGAGATAATGTATTTTTTGCGCCTGTTCATGGTAGAAACGTGTACCTCATTGTATTCGCATTGATATATTATCATGGGATGTGCTCCACCAACTCTCGCTTGTCGTTCCCCCAACACGAACTGCACTCTACACGATTGGTATCACCTCTCACCCATACAATGTATTCATACTTAAAAGCATAATAGTACCAAATTACATGTGTATTATCAAAAAGTTTATTTAGATTGGAGATCCCCACTGGCACTGAACACCCCCTGAAATTATTCCGCTTGATAGGTGTATTCCAACGATCACTCAATATTGACTGAGTGCTATGGGCGCAATTGTTTCGTGATCAAGGTTGTGTAGATGCAGATTTTCCCAGTTCTCTCAAAAAGCTCAATCTCCACTGAGATGAAACTTCAACAGATTAGGTTTGGGACTGGTGTTACTATTGAAAACAAACGATATGCATGAAATGCAAATGATCATTTATGCCTTTGAAGCTTGCACTGTTCCCCCGCCCCTTAATGGGAATATCGTGCTTTCCCCTTTCTTATATAATTATATGGGGGAGTCAGGTTGGCGTAGCGGTACTTTCCTCGCCAGCTTCCACCGCTGTGACCCAGGTTCGAATCCCGCCTGGGCCAATATGTGGATTGGGTTTTCAGTCCCTGCCTGATTCCGTGGGTTTTCCCCAGAATATTCTTCTGGGCTTTTCCTCCCACCTCTAAAACTGTAATTTCTTCTCATTGTCTTCTCTCTGCAGGTATCTTCAGGCTTGCGAGCTACAGTGCCTTGGGCGCTTTTGAGGAATCCTTGGTTTCATTACCAGAAATGATTAATAATAATAATAAATAATAATAATACTGTAGCTCAATTTATAAACAAGGAAAACAGAAATAACATCCTCTCTTTATAACGACTTCCTTTTTTCTCCGATTTTCTTATATCTTCATTTTGAGAAGGGCCGCTGGTTTCAAGTTTGTGGTTGGAGATCTCAATTCATTAAAAAGGGGGGGGGGGGGGGTTACGTTTGCAACTTACCAGCAGTTTGTTATGTAAATTGTTAATATTAGAAATCGCCTTGGGTTCTCTCCCTGCTGTTTGCAAAGTTTTACAACAGTCAAGTACTGGATATGACACAGAGCTTTTTTTCTTTTACTGAAGAAGTGCAAACCCGACCTGAAACCAAAACCGAACCAACCCGAATAAAATCGACTTCGGTTCTGTTCGGTTTGGCTATGAATGTAGTCAGTTCGTGTCGGTTTATGTTTGCGATGTTCGAATCGGATCGGTTAAGATACATTTTGAGAAAAAAAAAAACATCTCAAAACCGAGTCAAACCTAGACTTGATGACATGTCGTTAGATAGTCGTATTTTGCCTGTGAACTTCAGTCGAACTCCATCGGCGCGGCTGGTATAAGACTAGTAAGTAATCGGCGGGGTTACGACATATCTAACGACTTGAAGGTTACCTTCTCGACCGTTATTCATATAGGGCCTATGCGTATATTATATACATCATGTGCAGTATATTTTTGCGGTGAGATCCAATGTCGCACCGCAATGCAAAATGAGGACTCGTTTATTCCGTTGGAGTTCTTATCAATACATCGGAACGTGTTTGCAGATCGGGCGACATTTTAATTGCCAAATCACTCATCTTGGTCGGTCACCCACTCCCCCACTCCTCCGGTCAATGTTGTTCCCAGCTGATGGAGCACACACCGCGCAATGAGAGACAAAATTGAACGGGGGCCGGGAGAGGGTGGGGGCCCAGCGAGATTTGGCACGGATTGTAGGTGCAGGCCAGTAAATCGGTCCGAAATTGCCTACACCGGCCAAATCACGATTTACATGCCCCTATAATTATTCAGTATTTAAGCACACTGTGGGCACATTGTGGGCCATGCACTGGAACGTGAGCTTGTATTTCTGTACAATTTGGATGAAATTGGGGCTCTAAAAGGGATGATTAGGCCTATATTCGGGTGGAAATTTCTCCCAAAATATTCATCAAGTTGAAGAAAGACCATGAAATAAGCTTTAAGTTTGATGTGTGTCTCGAACACCTTGGAGAGTAAATTGTGAGTATATTTCCAGACTTTCTGAAGTGGAGCCATTTATCATTGGGGTCTTTATTGCACCCATAGGGACACTGTTAAAAGCGGGCCCTTATTATGGACGCTCTCGGACAGTAGGTGGCGCTCTTCATCGCTACCGACTGACGTGACTCGCTTTTTCCGATGATGTCGCCGGCCCCTTCGCGCTCCCCCCTCCCGGCTCGCTTTTAAAATCTGTGGCCAGTTGCAATTTGCAACTGTGCACCCCCCCCCCCCCCCCCCCGCTATGAAACTGCCCTGTGGTGGGTATAAGCGGCGCTAAGAATGTCGGTAAAAGGAAGAACAACAAATATCAAGCAGCGGCATCCATTTATAGAGATCTTCGATATACCTCATCGTCACGCACACATTTTTTTTTTTTATAAAGTATGACGTTTTTAAAAGTTGATATATAGAGCCCGCGTGCCTTTAAAAACTTTGAATTTTCTTTTCCGAACGAAATATGAAGGACTTTTATGTCCTGTAAAAATAAATTTGCGTGTTTGAGTGTGCAGGCCTTAAAGTTGGCTTTAACTGACGCGCTCCAGTTCTGAAATTGCGCACACTATTGAAAACGAGCGTCCCGCCCTTAATTCGAAAGTTGAAATTAAATAATTGATTGCTTGGTATGGGCCGATTTTTTTCGTGCGATGTCTCATTTGAAAGCTCATTGAAATTTTCGATTTGGGGGATTTAATTCCATTTGTAATTGTAAACACCATAGTTATTTACGATCATAAGTAAGACTGTTTTTGACACGACGTATGGAAAGACGTCGTGCCGGCAGATACTATCAAATTCTAGCACTGTACAAGAGTCGCTCAGTCCCCTAATAAAGGAGTGGGTGGCTTCACCCCCAGCTCTGTGAGACAATTGTTTTCATAGAAATTATCTGAAAATAATGTGACCCCCCCCCCGCCCCCCCGCTCTGACGCCCCAACAAATCTATACTGGTAATAACGTCCGCCTGTGCACAACAAACGGACAGCAGAGGCAGCTTTGTCGTGGGGTATTTGTACGCTATTCTGTTATAATATAGCATTAATAATCGTCGGATTTGAACTGCGCCCGAATAGTATGGTGCGAGCTGCCCCCCCCCCCCCCTGATTTTCGGAGGCCAAAATGTCCGGAGAAAAAAAACCTGTCTACATTGCAGATTTTTTTGGCTGATGAACTCCCCCCTGCCAAAATGTATGGTTCCGCCCCTGCCGCCTATTGGGTTCCACGCTTTTGGCGGGTCATTTATATTCATCATCGGCAGTTTTTCAAGATGTCAAAAGGCAACTTATGAACGGACGAGCCATCGGCTGATATCACGCTGCCTAGCTGATTGGTCGTGGCCCACAGGCCTTCCCACATTCTGGGGACTCCAACAATAATTGCTTACCCCGTTTCATTCTTTCATCCTACATGAGCTACAGAAACTTCATTTGGGTCCAAATAGTGGTATGTCGATATCACATTTCATATCAATGTACCAACTTACGTCAGAGGTGGATCTAGTAACTTTTGCTGGGGATGGGTCGGGAGGAGGGGGAGTGGCTGAGGCCCGTCAGATTCAGATACACATGTACATACTTTATTGTGTCAGAGCAGGAGAAGGGTTCGACCCCCCAGCCCCTCTGGATCCGTGACTGCATGTCACTGACAGTCAAAGGCAAGTC